CCCAGCCCTCCTACCTCAGACCCCGAGTCCTGGCCGGGGATGAGTTCTCCTGCCCCCCAGCCGGCTTCGAGGGAGTCAGCTCCCGCCCTGATGGCCTCTCCCTTGCTGCCTCATAGGCTCCCCTGACCACACCCGTGGCAACCTCATCCGCCTTGGGCTGGCCGGCCTAGTCCTCCTCTCCCTGGCCATGCTGGTCGTTGTCGACTGGCGCAGCCAGACTGGCGCTCCTGGTCGCATCCAGCCCCGAGCCCCAGAGGGCTTGCAGCACGAGACTTCGCCACATAACGTAAGTGAGAAGAGAGGGCAGAGGAGCAGGGGTCCCTTGGGCTGGACTGGCCCTTCCCGGCACCCCACAGCCCTCCTGGCTGGACCCAGCTCCCCAAGTAGTAATAACCTTACACCGTGTGCTCTAGCTTTCCTCTGGGGCATTCCTCCAGGACCTTTCCCAAGCCTCAAAAGCCTTGATGGTAAGGTGGGTACACTGATAAGACCCACCTCATGGGATTGTTGTCGGGTGAAGTGGACAATACTCATGAAGCATTTGAAACCGACAGACCCATAAGAAATGCTCCATGAATGTGAGCTATTGTGTAACCACCATTTCTGCCAGGACCAGAATTCACAGGAGCGGAGTGAAGTTTCCGTCGTTTAACATTGCCCATGCTCTGGCTCAAGTTTTAGGCAACTTATCGTCATTCCCTGCATGATATCATTCTTGGTCACCAAGCAAACCTCTTCGGAATTCCTCCCGCGACCTTCCCCAGAGGTAGACCAAGAGCAGACCAAGTAAAACTTCTTTCCCAAGTGCAGCTTCACGGGCTGTTTCCCTTGAACCTCGTGATCAGTAAGCAGGGGGCTGTCGCCAAGGCAACAGCAGGCGGAGCACGGGCAGTATAGCTTTGACTGGACGTCTACTTTCCTGTGTGCTCGTGGCCGCCCTCACAGCAGTGGGGAAAATAAGGCAGACCACTGCACCTCGCAGGCTCCGTGCTCTTCCCGGCTCACCTCTCCGCCTCCCCGAGGCCTGGCTGCTTGCACAGGTTCTCCGGGATTTATTAACTGAACTTCTGTTTTTATCTCGCTCACCTCAATGCCTTTCTCATCCTCACGCACACAGTTTCCATGTCTGACCACTTTCCAGTTCTGACCACTCCGCACTCATGTGTTCCTTTCTTGATTTATGCCTACTTTTGCTGCAGCACCGTCTCTTCTATTTTTAGTTAATTTCCAACTTTCCCTTCCCCTCTTCCCACTTTATGGAAAGGAAGATGACTTCCATTTCTTGAACAGCCCCAGCTCTGCCACTCAACTAGGTGTGCAGCCTTGAGCAGCCTATGGAGGCATCTGAGATTTCATCTGTGCAGGGTAAACTGGAAATATCTACCGTGTCCATCCTAAAGAGGGAGGCCTCATAACTTGTCCCCTACACACAGGGAGGGATTGCAAAATCTTAAATCGGCACTTTTAACCACTCCCCACCCTTTCTGGGAACAAACCCCCACCTCACACACACGTGCACATGTGATTTGAGGAAGGATGAGCCATATTTACTGGTGTGTTGTATTGTTTCAGAATCTGACCTAAACCGGGTCTTACACAAAGATTAGGAAATTTTTAATGTTGGTAAATAGTATAAGGTGGTGTTATTTCAATACCCAATTCTCTTGTTTGAGATTAAGGTACTCAGATGTGAGATTCAGCGAAACTGAATTCTAAAGTCAAATTATCTGCCTGCAATGCACTGCCTTGCTGAGAAGGTGGGAGGAGAGGCTCCAGGCAGAACATTCTGGGGCCCTGAAGGAGTGTCTCCGGGGCAAACCCCCTGGCATATATATGTGCATCAAGGGAGAAGGAGGGACCCAGACCTGGATGGGGCTGTGAAGCCATCAGAGCCCATCTTCGCATTTTGCAGATGGGAACGTGGTGAAAGGGACAGGTGCCGTGAAGCCCCCCAGAGTCGCACAGGAAGGCAGTGGCTCCCCAGGGGAGCTGCCCAAGAGTTTGCACTTCAAGTGGGCTCCCTCTGGTCACTTACTCACTCGGCCACTCATTCATTTAGTCACTCACTTGTTCTGCTATCCATCCATCCAGGTGTTGGTTGGCTTTCATCCTATTTCTTCCTATTCATCCATCCCCTTCTCACTGGCTCTTACCTGCCATCTACCCATTCTTCGGTTTATCCTGTCCATCACTCATTCACTCTTAGATCCACCCTTCCCTTCAATTTATTAATCCACTCACCTATTCAGTATCCATCAGTCTAGCCATGCACTTATCTGTCCAAAATGTCCAAAAATAGTAATTTACCCAAGGACTAGCACAAGTTTTCACAGACATCACGTGTTCAGTGAATGTTTACTGAGTGAACAGTAGTCATTAATTTCACTTCCTGCCATTGGTCATGTCTCTATACCGTCATTTTGCCAAGTGGGCCACCTGTGTCATTCCTAATCATCACGGCAGCCCTCTAAGGCACAGACAGGTGCTTGACCTGGGACCTTAGAGCCTCTGTGTGGTCAGACTTGTTTTGTTTCCCCCCTGGGGCTGCCTCTTAAAAACAATAACAAAATACATCTCTTCCAGTTTGTTGAGTCAAGACTTCTGGGTATTACTTGGCTATGGTCTCCTGTTCACTGTTTAATGAGGAAGTGCAAATGGAACATTATCACCTTAACAACTGCAAAGCAATTTATGGTTTCTGAAGCAGTGGCTGCTTATATTTGTCCCTCACAAATGAGCAGTGTGTCCAAGATGTTCATAATGAAACTGATGCTTCTGCTGTCTCTTCTTTCTGTTCCCTCTTTCCTGCTCAACTCAGGGCTCAGACTGGAGGCTGTTTCCTCTGCAATTTTATGCTTGAGCCCTCTGTGTTCCCAGTGCCCTATCATCCCTAATTGAGTGCTTATACTAAATTCTGGTTCTCTCTCTCTCCCAGGCTAGACCACACACTCCTCCCCAGAGGGACCGGATTGTTTTACCTCTGTATCCCCACACTCTGGCACAGAGGTCTTAGGAGACTTGCACGGCGTGACTGAGTGAGCTCACCATGCTGAAGATTACGTAAGCTGGCCCTGTCCTCTCGCCATCTACCTCATGTTGAAGAATGGTGCCCCCACCATGTGACATCCTGATTCCTAGAAGGTGTTATTCATGGCAAAAGGGACATCACACGTGTGATTAAATTAAGAATCAAAAGATGGGGAGATTATCCTGGATCATTTGCATGGGTTCGATGTAATCACAAGGGTCCTTATAAGAGGGAGGCAGTGGGTCAGGGCCAGAGAAGGTGATGTGAAGATGACAGCAGATGTCAGTGTGATGAGGGGCCACAAGCCAAGGAATGCAGGTGCCTCTAAAAGCTGGAGAAAAAGGAACTTCATTCCTCTTTATTGCCTCCAGAAGGAATGCAGCCTGCAGAACCATTTTGGATGGACCTTTCAGGGCTGAAAGGTTAAAAATGAATGTTGTTTTCGGCCACTTAATTTGTGACAATCTGTTATAATAGCAATAGAGAAACAAATACTATTAGCTTCAATTGCATGTCCTTTCTTGTTCCACAACCCAGGCACCTTCACCCTTAGGACTTCCGCTTGAGTCCCCGTGTACCTGCTTGCCCCACACTCCCATCCCCTTGTCACATGTTTACTCAACGACTACCATGTGTGAGACGCTGGGCTAACGCTGGGGGCGCAGTGGGGAGTCACAGCAGACAAGTACCCTGGTCTCACGAAGCTCACAGAGAAAAGCGTCAACCAAATTGCTACTCACTGTACTGGTTAGGGACCACTTTACACTGCCTCACAAAAAGAATCCCCACCCTCCAAAACAAAAACCTACATGTAATTTTATTTCTGTCTCACTTAACAGGACACAATTGAACAGTCAAAGACCATATAAACCGCTTAGCTTTTATCAACATGTAGCTTTCATGTCTGGTTCTGAGCCAGTGGGCAAGGAGGGAGACAGAGAGAGAAAGAGGGCTCACACAATTGATTTTAAGAGCAGGAACCCAAATTTGAACATGTCCCTTCTGCTCACATCCCCTTGGCCAGAACTCAACCACATGGACAGATCTGGCTGCAAATATGGGCTCCGTTGTGTGTCCTTCTAAAAATGGTGGGGATAGGGCACTGTTATTTAAAGGAAGGGAGGAATTTGGGTGCGGGGAAACCCTTATGCATCTCCACCACTACAGCTATAGCAGAGAAGAGGGAGATTTGAAAACCTGTAGTGGGACGATTTGAGATTATCATGAAAATCTCTGATGGTTTTTTTGAAGTGATGTGACATCAGGAAGTTGAGCAGACGAAGAGGGGCTGGAAGAGTGTGCTAAGCCGAGGGAACAGCATGTGCAAAGACCCTGTGGAGGAGGAAGCCAAGCAGTTTGCTGAGCGACTACAGGGGTGTGCTTGTGGTTGCATGGAAATCTGTGTCACTACAGTGACCTACTAGGATGGCACTTACAAAGGGCGTGGTTGTCGTTTCTGCTTTCTGCCTAGGACCTCCAGGTGTTCCCCCTCGGGGCACTATTCTATAAAGGAGCCGAAGATGCCCTACATGACTGTCACAGCAGGCTGAAATCCACTGCCTCAAAAGCCCTTGGCCGCCAAACTCAAATGTTTACACACCCGGTTATTGTAAACAGAGCCCAAACAGACAGCTTTTAAAACTAGACGACCCTGCACACCCCCATGGCGTTGCACTGGACGTCCGCTAGCCAGAGGTGAGCTCTGGGCCTAAGAAAACGCCCCCCGGCCCACTGGTGCTCTCTGACCCAGATGCTCCCTGCCCTGCTGCAGAGCAGCGTCGCCCACACCCTTTCCCCTCGCCGCCCTCTTCTGGTGTGCAGAGGTCAGGCCTCCAGGGCCTCCGCCCCTTGCAGTTCTGTCCAAGCTGCCTCCAGACAAGCTCAACCCTATGCAGCCTGACCGTGCAGCCGCATCATATCCCCGAGGGGCGCCGAGATCTCGGAACTCTCAGCTGGCTCGCCGGAGGACTGCCCTGGGGGCGGCGGCCTACTCCGGCGGGACCCCAGCTGTGAGCCCCGGGGGTGCGTGGCTTCAGGATGGCACTTGGCTGTAACCCCCTTCTGCCCCACTCTGCGCGCTCTTTTCTCCCTGACACAGCGACAGCGATGTCTGAGACGGTGGCTGCCCCTGGGTCCGGGTGCCTGTGTGAGGAGGGTGGACAGACCCCTACCTCTGACTCTGCTGGGGTCTCCCTGCCCCGCCGGCTCTGGGCCCTCCTCTGGGGAGCTGATCTGTTACCATCTTTCCGCACGCCTGTCTCAGTCCACTGGGGACTTTGTAACAACATTCCACAGACTTGGTGGCTTGAGTAACACTTGTTTCCCACAGTTCTGGGGTCTGGGGGTCTGAGCTCAGAGGCCCAGCAGGGATCTGGCCAGAGCCCCCTCCCGGCCTGCAGACAGACCCCTCACACAGCAGGGGAGGCAGAGAGGGAGGGCAGGAGGGCCCCTCCATCTCTCCCAGGGAGAGCACTAACCCCCTGGGGGGCCCCACCCTGACCACCTGCCTAAACCACCCTACCTCCAAGGCCCCACCTCCTAACAGCAGTACAGTAGGGGGTTAGGGCTCCAACCTCAGAATCTGGGGGACACACAGTCAGCCCCTAAAAGCATCCTTCTGGAGATCTTGTCTCCATTGCTTATATTTTAAGAACTATGGAGAGTTCATGCCACTGTCGGGGGCGGAACTGGTATGGCATCAGGAATCCATGCAATCAGCCTTCAACTGCAGCTCCCCTGAGCCTCAGCAAGAGGCCCAGACCCTCCTGGGCCATGAGAACGTGAGAGGCTTGGGAGAAGCTGCTCGATCTGTCGGGAAGGCCACCGGCTAGGAGACGTGGGGACTGTACGGTTCACCCTTCCAAGTAGTATCAGTTTTAGATTTTGGGGATCTGCTCTGGAGCACCGAGGAGATGACTCGTGGCCGACTGTGACATCTGGAATGCATTCAGGATATTCTCTCACAAGAGCAGAAGGAAACATCTCAGGGCAAAGGGCTAAGATTTCAGCAGCCAGATGCCCCTTATAGGATAGGGGTCTCCCCACCTCTTTCCCCCTTTCTTAAATTCATCTGGACAGCGATAGTGCTGTGTGGGGAGTGGGAAGCACACATGGAAGGGAACTGGGGAGGTCCTCATATTTCTGGAGCATCAGAAATGTTTGCAAACATCTCTCCTTCCCTAAGACTTAAACTCAGTCAATCAACATGCATTTATTGAACTTTGGGCAAAATCTAGGCTCTGCTCTGAGCACTGAGGTTGGATTCTCTGCCCTCAAGGGGCTTAAATTCTAGTGACTCCAAATATCCAATGAACCCACAGGCCTCAGCAGTAACAGGGGTCATTAGCACCTAAGTGTTTCTGTTTTGTTTTTCCAGCCAAATGGCTTTTGTCAAAGGGTCTCTCACACTCTATGAGCCATGAGATCATGGGGAGGGTGCCGTGCCCGCCACAGTGTCACCACACTCAGGGGAGACCCTGAGTCACTTAGGTGACAGAGACATCAGGAGACCAGTCTCGTGTCCCTTGTCTTTTCCCCACCATGAAACCTAGGAATGACATCGCCGGATACCATAGAAGAGTAAGATGCAAAAGGCTGGGTGCTGTGGGGGGGTGGTCGGGTTCTGGGGTAACACGGCCAGAGCGTCCACATCCGGGGGCCTTGTGAGACAGACCCGGGGTGGTGGAGAGGGACAATGTAGAAACGACGGAGACTGTGTGGCAGCCCCCCAGGGATGTCCACAGCCCATTCCTGGAAGCTGTGGGATGTTCCTTATGTGGCAAAGGAGATGTTAGGAGGCAGCTGGAATTAAAGTTGCCAATCAATGGACCTTAAAGCAGGGAGCCATCCTGGGTTAATTATGATGCAATCACAAGGGTCCTTAAAGCGGTAAAGAGGCAGAAGCATAGGTCAGACTCAACCAATCCTCACTGTTTTTACGGACGGAAGAAGAGGCCGTGTGCCACCCAATGTGGGCTCCTCTGGGAGCTATAAAAGGCCGGGAGTGGGTGGCCCCCCCGAGCCCCCAGAAGGAAGGCAGTCCTGTGGACAGCTTGGTGTTAGCCGGTGAGTATGGTGCTGCGGGACTTCCTAACCTACAGTACTACAAGATTATAAATTTTTGCTGCAACGGTGACTAAGTTTGTAGAAATTTGTTAACAGCAGCCACAGGAAGACATACACTGCAGATAGACCCTGATAGCAAATGGGTTGTCGGTGGGGAGGCCGGGACCTCTGGGGAATGGGATGGTGAGCCCCTAGGAGGGGCCCTCAGGCATTGGGCAGGGCGGTGACTGGCAGGAGCTTCTGTCCCTGGGATGATTCCTTCCCAGCGCTGCATGTGGCCCAGGAAGGGGGGCCACAGAAGGCGAGTCCTTCTTCAATGAAACCCTCTCCTTCACCCAGAGGCCCCCTTCCTTTTCCCATCCTTAAACAGGCTTCTGGGGAGCAGGTGAGCAAACCCCATCCAGTCCCGGACCCGGCTTCCTCGCAGGCCCCCCAGCCGCCCCTCAGTGCCCAGCCCAGCTCGGTGAGCCCTTACAAGGACAATGTGACCATGCGCTGCGGGGCTCCTACCAACAATGTGAACTTTGCTCTTAGATAGAGGGGATTGTTTTGGAGTCCTGGCAGTCAGGGGGTTGCCCAGAGGGCCTGGCTGAATCCCACCTCACCAATCTAGAAAACTGTGATGCTGGGAATACATCTGTGAATTCTACAGGCAACAGCCGCCCCACCTGGGTTCACGGCCTAGGGATGTCCTCCGACCGCTGGTGACAGGTGAGCAATGACATGCCCCTCCCTCAGGACAGGGTGAGGGAGGAGCCAGAGGAAGAGAAGGGTCATCTCCGGTGTCCTTGGCGAGGGCGAGATGGGGCAAGACAGGAATAGAACAGGGTCCCTGGATTTTTATCCTGGGCTCCCAGGAGGGAAGGCTTCCTGGAGTCAGAGTGGCAGGATGGTGAGCCAGGATCCGGCATTGCCCGCACTCCAGGAGAGCCTGCCAGGAGAACAGGGAGGCAGGGACCCAAGGCTCCTCGCCATCCCCTGGACCTGTTCCTTCTCTTACAGAAGACATAGCTGAACCTTCCTTCCAAGTCCACCAAAGGCATTAGGCATCCTCAGGAGGAAACATGAGCCTGCAGGGCCAGAAGCCAGACGATTCTGGGGGGTCTACAATGCTCTCTCTCCTGAAGGTGGGGAGGCTGTGCCCACGCGGCTCTGGAGTGCAGCAGGGAAGGAAGCAGGCTTCTCCCAAGGAACAGGGCAGCCAGTGACGCTGGGAATTAGAGCTGTGCCTACTTCCGGACAGGGCTGCTTTCTGGACCTCTGATCCCCCTGCCCTCTGGGTGCTGGGCGATGGTTTGCATGAGTTTCAGGAATTTCTTAAAGGTCCATAAAAGATCGTTTGATCTGTCATTTCTGATTCTCGCTTCTGCAACCTTGCCCTACGATCTCCTTTTAAAGTCTTCCTTCCCCAACCTCCGCTCCTTTGCCCATTCACGTTCTGC